GCTACCCGCGTGTTCCGCCGCTTTACTCCCCGTCCCCCTGATCTGCAGACCAGGGGGACCGGGAACAAAGCAGAGCAAAGCCACCAGGGCAGCAGGACAGCCACGGCGCGTCTGGGCTGTCCTGCTGCCCCCGTGCTCCATGGCTTTGCTCCGGACGCCTGGGGCAGAGCAGCTGGGGTGCTGCCGGGTTGGTCCAGTAGCGCCCAGAGCGGCGCTATGGGACCAACCGGCAGTGCCCCAGCTGCTGTACCACAGGCGTCCGGAGCAAAGCCGCGGAGCACGGGGGCAGCGGGACAGCCTAGACGCGTCTGGGCTGTCCGCTGCCCGCGTGCTCCGCCGCTTTGCTTCCTCTCCCTGGTCTGCTGGAGAGGGCCCCGTTCGTAACTGCGGATCCGACGTAAGTAACTCGGGGACTGCCTGTATATAGATCTTGTCTGTCTCACTCTTCTAACACTGATCTTCCCTCTGTCTCCTTCACACAGTTTCCTGAGTATAAGACCCATCAGCTCTGTAGCCTCTGACATCTGGAACAGCTATCTTGTATCTCTGTGAGTTAGTTTGTGTTCCATATTTTTGCAAATCTCATCTGAAAAAGTCTTACCTATATCCACTCTTTTCCCTCCCTCAGGCCAAATGCTCACATAGTAAGCCCACGTCCTTGTGCAGGGTGGGGCAGACCAACACACTGATCACTGGCAAGAGAGGGGGAGACTGCCATCGAGTATGTGGGGGTCACAGGGAGAACACGGGCCCTCCCTACTCCACCATGTCCTGGCCCAGGGCCCTAGCAGTGGTAGCCTGGACTGCCACTGGGGTCAGCAGTGATCCAGCCCGCAACACGCTGACACACTACACAGAGGCACAGCGAGGGTGTTATAAAATTTGTGCCCTCCCTCTCCCTCCCCACCCCTGAACCTGGCACACAGCTGAGCCTTACCCTGGGAGGAGGCGGGGGAGCTTGTATCGTGTCTTATCCCTCCCTCCTCCAGTTTGGGGCCAGGCCCCCACATGCACTAACCCACTGGCAGAGAGGGTCAGGTTGGGGGCAGAGAGGTGCGAGGGAGGTGGCTCCAGCTGGTGGTGGTGGGTGGAGGAGAAGCAGGCAAGCGGAGGGATAACAGGGGAAGCGGAGGGGGACTAAATTGGTGCCCCCCTAGTGTGATGCCTGGGGGCAACTCTCCCCCACCCTTCCCTCGCTACACCACTGTAAATAATCCACCTCTTAGGATATTTATTGTTTAATGAATTACTTATTTTACTAACTACAGACAAATATAAATTTTAGTTTTTGTGGTTTACATTCCGTTAAATAATTTTTTCTCTTTAATTTGTTATATCCCATTCTCATTAGTTTTATGTCTTTTACATTAAAAATGTCAAATACTTAAAATATGTAAGTTTTATAAAACACAAGAGAAGTAAATGTTAAACAACCTAAATATGAATTTCATCACTGTATTTCAATCAAACATTTAAAACCACTGTTATAGAAAACGAGTAACTCGTTGCTTTAATGAATAAAAGGTAAAAAAAGATTTTGAGCATATCAAATTTATATGTTTGATATGCCATCTGCAATGTTTCCTTACTGCCTAAGTACTTACCCAGTTAACCTAGTTGTTTTACATAGTAGCGCGCAGCAAAGAACTACATCATAGTTATGAATGTAAGAGATTGACTTACCTGTTAAAATAACACTAAGAAAAACTTTTAAATAAAACTAACACACAACATGAGAATTGCTCTCACTTGAAGGCACTTAAAGCAATAAGTAGCCTAAGGCTGAGGTAACACAAGCGTGGCTTTCTGTCTGCCACAAGGACTTTTTCCTTCAGGCTTCCGTAGGATTCTATCCTTAAGTAAAGGAGTGAGGACTCATTGAGCTGCTCTTCCAAATTTCACACAAGCCATTCAACTGAAGCCATAGATGTCAAGATTCAAGGCCAGCCTTGCCTTTGGCAGACTTCTTCGCCAGGTGTTCATAATCACAACATCTGAACAGGTATAAGACTTTTAGTTGAGAAAGCCACGTTAATCCCAAGTCTCTGCTAGGACTGGGAGATGTGGGTGACCCATAGAAAACACCAGCACTTTGTTTGGAAAATCTGCAACAAAACGTGGGGGTTCAATCACCTCAGTAATGCGAACTCCTTTAGAATGGAGACCCTGATTATCCAGCACCAGCTGAGGTAGAGCAGGCACTGTGTGCATGGCTGATATATTTTTACCAAAACTGCTGCCCACCCATCTCACCAAAGGAGAAAGGAAACAGGAAGGCCAAAGGAATGGTTTAGAGCAGTGTTTCTCAACCTTTTTTTATAAAGTACCCCTTTTAAAAAATATATATAAGTCCCCCAATGCACCCACTCCTCCCCCTGATATTGCCCATCAGCCACCAAAAGCACTTCCCCTGAGGCTGCCGAGCCCCTGTGGACAATGGGTGACACTGAGCATCTGGGTCCCAGGCCTGTGGTCACCCCTTCCATCTCTGAGGCGGAGCGGTCACCTTCCCTTCCTGTTGGGGCCCACCAATCATCACCATCCTCAGCGATGTCATGGCTTCAGACCTACAGTCCACCCAGGCATTTGGGCCCAGTGTCAGTGTGGGCCCCCTCCCCACCATTGTTCCCTCAGTCCCAGATCACCCTTCAGAATTGGGGGGATTTTCATGCTATCCTCTGGGCCACAAAAGCCCTCTTGTAGGAGGGGAGATGGACCAAAAGGACCATCGTGGCCTACCGCTGGACCTGCAAATTTCGTGACACTCTCCTAGGCTTCAGGGTCTGCTGCAGGATCTGCAAGGGGCTGACGATCGCCCTGCCTGCAAGGATCCACCCCAGCCCTCAATATGAAATATACCATCTTTGCAACGTTAAATGCCCAGGGCTGTAGGGAGGGTCTCCACAGGAGGGGGGTGCTCTCCTTCCTTCGGGGGGGGGGGGGGGGCGGGGGCCCGCGGGAGACCCACACACCTCCAGCAGTCGAGGCTGGCTGGTGGCAGGAGTGGAGCTATGGGGTGTATTTTAGCCACTTCAGCACCCATGAAGCTGGGGTGGTCACCCTGTTCTTTCCTGTCCTATGGCCCAAGGTGGTGGGGTTTGCCGAGGTCGTCCCAGGCCACCTTCTGCACGTCTGGGCACACATAGAAGGACTGACGCTGAGCTTAGTCAACGTCTACGCCCCGAATGCAGGCCTGGACTGGGTGATCTTTTACTAGAGGTGCCTACTTTCCTCAGCACCTTGGATCCTCATGAGTGCCTGGTTCTGGGCAGCTCAGGGATCGCTGAGGACTGGGATCACTCAGGACTCAAGAACTGCCAGGCTGTGGCAGGCATCCTGGGGGAGATTGTAGACCACCACTCCTTGGTGGATGACTGGCGCAACCTCCACCTGGATGATACCACCACCTTCACCTATGTCGGGGTGAGAGATGATGGGTCGCACCACTCCTGATTGGACTGGATATACTTATCCCACTTCCATGTAGCAAGGACTCACTCTTCCAGCATCTGGCCGGCCCTGTTGACGGACAACCATTTGGTGGCCATGAAGGCCTCTCTAAGTGCAGAGAGGCTGGGGCCGGCCTACAGGCACTTTAACAATAGCCTGCTGGAGAACATAGACTTTGTGGTGTCCTTCTGGGAGTTCTGGCTGGCCTGGCAGGAGCAGCAGCCTGCCTTTCCCTCGACGCAGCGATTGTGGGACATGGGGAAGGTGCACACCTGGCTCTTTTGCCGTGACTATTCCCGGGGCGCAGCCAGCGGAGGGATGCAGCGATAGAGCAGTTGGAGTTGGAGGTTTCAAAGCTTGAGAGGTGCCTGGCATCTGACCCCGAGGATCCACCCCTCTGCGAGGCATACTGGGAGAAGCGGGAGGAACTCCGGGCCCTTGAGGACCATCGGGCCTGGGGTGACTTTGATCCCACATTCGTCTCCTCCGGAAGATGAATCGCAGCTCCCACTTCTTCTATGCCATGGAGAAAAAGAGGAGGCTAAAAATCAAGTCACCTGCCTCCTGGCAGAGGACAGCACCCCCCTCACAGATTCGGAGGAGACGCGTGGAAGGGCGAGGGCCTTCTACGCCAGTTTGTTCTCCCCAGAATTGACCGACACTGACGCCTGCAGGTTGCTCTGGACTAAACTCCCAACAGTCAGCGTGAGCAACTGAGACAAGCTGGAGCTGCCTCTCACTCTGGCCAAGTTCTCGGAAGCCCTACCTCTAATGCCCACCAACAAAACCTTGGGCATGGATGGGCTGACCATGGAGTTCTACCACGTTCTGGGATGTCCTCGGTCCAGACCTCGTCACCATCTGGGCTGAGACCTTAGAGAACGGGGTCCTCTCTCTTGTGCAGGCAAGCAGTGCTTTCCTTGCTAATGAAGAGGGGGGACCTCCGTGACCTTTGGAACTGGTGTCCTGTCTCGTTCCTCTGCTACAAAGTAGCAAAAGCCATCTTGCTGTGACTGCGGCCCATGCTGGCATACATGGTGCATCCCAACCAGACCTACATTGTCCTGTGCCACAGCATCTTTGATAATTTGCATCTGGTCCAGGATTTCTTGGAGCTCAGGTGTAGGGACGGACTGTCTTTCGCCCTCCTGTCCCTGGACCAGGGGATACCCATGGTCCACCCTGTTGAACACAGTCTCCTAGGCAGTCTTCAGGCCTTTGGCTTCAGGCCCCAGCCAGTTTGCTTCCGAACCATGCCCAGAGACCATCAGTACATGCTCATGCTCCACATGTTGTATTTCCACACCTTCATGTCCCACCCTGACACCAAATGGCAGGACCTAATAAAACCTGCTGAGAGTGACGAACTCTGATGGGCCAGTGTTTATGCCCCCTTAATCCCACGGCTCACTGGGGACAAAAGTTGGCGGCTCCTCCATGGAGCCGTGAGCATGGGCGTGTACCTGGTGCGGTTCACCACCATCCCAGATGCCTGTCCCTTCTGTGGTGTGAGGGAAAACCTTGCTCACTCCTTCCTTGAATGCGTCAGGTTGCAGCCCTTTTTCCAGCTCCTCCAGAACCTCTTGCTGCACTTTTCCCCTTACCTCTTTATGCACTCCCCATCCGTGGCCCCACAAAGTTACGAGGCCTCCTTGTCAACCTCCTCCTGGCCCTGGCGAAAGCTGCCATCTATAGCACCAGGAGGAGGATGCTGGACAAGGGGGAGCGCTGCGACTGTGGGGCCTATTTCCACTCCTCCCTTGTCTCACAAATCCACGCAGAGTTCCTCTGGGCAGCGTCCACTGGCTCCCTGAGCAGCTTCGGGGGGCAGTGGGCGCTGTCCGAGGTTCTCTGCTTCGTGTCCCCATCCGGTTCCCTTGTTTTAAACTTTTGACCTTCACCCCGACCCTGTTTTTTTTTATCATTTATCCCCATAATCTGTTGAGTCCTGGGTCATGGGGTTCCCCCTGCAAGGTTGAGGGAGGGGCCTTTAGTATTGGGCAAGCACCCCCTTGGATTCAAATAGTGCTCACTACACAGAGTAACTTTCAGTGAATGCCAGGAATGATATAGATTTGGTATCAATGTATTTACTTCTTCCCAGACACTTGTAGAGACAAATTGGCTCATGCATTTTGCATAAACCACAAAAATGACAACTTCTAAATCACCTCTCTATAAACAACATTCCTGACAACCGCTTCATTTGAGGGAATCTATTGTCCAGATGCTCTGGGAATAGGAAAGGGGCATTGATCACAGAACACCCTGACATTCTGTGGGTCTCTAGTTCGGCTCCTAGCAATATATGTTTGTCCATGTGTGAACACCGGCACCAGTAGACATATATCACACTTCTGGAGGCTTTGCCCTTGGCTTTTGTTGATGGCCATTGCCAAGGCTGGTCTGATGGGAAATTGGTAGGGCTGCATTGTGAGCAAGTGTAGACTCTTGTGCTTTGTTTCTCTCAAACAATAGATGGAACCTAAGAAATGTATCTTTTCGGAGCTACTTTGATTGAGAAGGGGGGGTGGGGAGGAAGAGATTTTACACAGATCCCCTACAGCTGTCCAGAGTAAAAGGCTCACTTACAACTATGGTCATCCCTCTTCAGGGGCATTCTCAGGCCGTGCTGGGAGGGATGGTTTTATCAATTGGCTCATCGATACTCTCAAAACAGGGCAGTCAGTGAGCAGCGCATGTTGGCCAGCGCCTCACAGCTTTCCGTCTGGTGCGCGCCTGCACCCTCGCACGCACAAACTTTGCAGGCTCTCGCTGCGGGCCTGAGCAGGACCTTTTGTTAGAGCCAGGCCGCTGCCAGCAGAGCCCTGGTGAGCCCTGCCTCACAGCTGCAGTGCAGCAGGCTGAGGGGCGGTGAGGTGGGGCGGGTGAGCAGGCATCACAGGGGGCAGGTGCTCAGGAGGGCAGGGCAGAGGAAGACTCAGGGGGCCAAAGGAAGGATGGGCAGAGTGCGGCGGGCAGGGACTTACCGCCAGCCCCAGCGCTCGCAGCACCTCCTGCTTCTCTTTGTCCCCGGGCCTGATGTGCTGCTCGGAGAAGTCATCATGGCACAGCAGCAGCTGCTCGATGGACAGAGGGAGGGACAGAGTAGCAGAGTTCCCCCACACGGGGCCCCAGCCCACAAGCTGCCTGCCCCAGTGGGCTCAGATCTGCATGGTACCGTCGCCACTGCCAGCTCCTCACCACACCTGCAGGCCACTAGCTGGGGAGGTGCTAAGCCCAGGCTCTTGCCCCCGCCAATTGCAGCCCAAGGGGAGGGGCCCCAGCTGCACCCTGCCCAACCCAGCCCGCCGGGCCAGCTGTCACTGCGTCCACTCCCGCCACAGGGTGGGGTTCCCTTCAGTTCATCATCTCTCACTCATGCTGGCATTTTCTCGAAACTTCTCAAGCCTTCTAGTGTATTCTCCAGTGTTCTCTGTGATGGACACCTCTCTTTTTAGAATAGTTTAGATTCTGCCTTACATTATCTAACCCTATGAAGCATTGTGCACTGTATATTTTTGAGTGACAGAGCATGTATCAAATAAAGTTGTACTAACTTGTGTGTACAATCCAGGTTCCACCCCACCCCTCCTGTCATCCACACCTTCCTGACACAACCTAGTCAACTCACACCACATTTGCTGTGCCATGGGCTAGCTGACCTGTCTCAGTCTCTCTCTAAATTAACCCCCCCACACACACACACACACTTTTGTGGACATTGGGGTGTCAAGAGAGACAATGTAGCTTTGTCAAGGGTGGCTCTAACTTCCCTATATGGTCAAAATCTGTCCACAAATTGTTTTGCTTTGTTTTATGGAAATCAGTCTGTGGTGATGGAGTATACATACTGTATATGCTCTACTTGAGATTCCAGGTAGCATCCTGCAAACAGACTAAGCCACCAAAGTAGCATATTCAGCATGGAAAGCATCTGCCTTGTCGGGGTAAGAAATAGGTTAGCTGAGGGTTTCGGGAGGTCTCATATTTTTCAGAGAAGGGACTGCACCTTGATAGAGAGATTGCGTCCTGACCTCCTTCCCCCACATTCTCCCTCACCTGAAGAAGCCATACTATGAAAATATTTTAACTGCCTTTTCATGTCATTTCGAAGCAGGAAAGAAGGAGAAAAGCTGGGTCTCCGCAGCTCACTGGCTTAGTTAATGAAGGTCAGTTTCTCCTGGGGGAAGGTGATGGAGAGCGGAGGGCCTCAAACAGCTACAGGGCGCCGGGCTTGTGGATGACAACAGTGGGCCAGTGGAAGTAAGGGACCGCACACAGAAAGACAGGGATGGTTTGGCGCTGGGGGGGAACTAAGGGTGAAATAGCACAGTGGGGTGGGGCGCAGCAAACACACTGGTTGTGTGGACAAGGGGGGAGACCCAGGAAGGCTTGTTGAGGGCAGCACAGAGCCCGAGAGGGCAGAATACCCCACGAAGAGCCGGTGAGAGGCCGCTCGGGGGATGCTGGCAGTCCCAAGGGGCCCAGAGCACACCCCAGAAGAGGAGTGTGGCAAAGAGGAAGGGTGGCTCAGGGGACCGGCTCTAAGCTCTGGAGGGAGCCTGGAAAGCGGAGCTAATGGCCCCGCCTACTCCCCTGCCGGCCCCAGGGCTGCAGTGCCAGAGAACAAGCCGGGAGGGGCGCGCCGGGGGGCTGCCCTGGGCGCCGCAAGGAACCACTGCCGGAGTGTCAGGCGCTCCTCGCTGGGAGGGGCTGGCTGCCTGCGCCCTCCCCCAGCCCGCCTGGCGGGGCCACCCCCCTGAAGCCGGAGGCGTCGGGCTTAGTCGGAGCCGCCTCCCGCGGTGCCTCGCTGGCCCACGCGCGCCCGGAGAGCGGGCAGGCGCGGCGCGATGTGCCGGGCGCAGGGGCGGCGCTGGCGGCTGCCCGGGACCCTGCTGCTGGCGCTGGCCTACGTGGGCTACCTGCTGCTGGGCAGCGCGGCGTTCTGGGCGCTGGAGGGCCCGGCCGAGCGCCGCTCCGCGCAGCTGCTGCTGCAGGAGAAGTGGGAGCTGCTGGCCAATTACACGTGCCTGCAGGGGCCGGCCCTGGAGCGCCTCGTCCAGGTAGGGGGCTGCGGGCTTCCCGGGGCAGAGCTGCAGGGTGAGGAACCTGGGGAGCCCCCCCCCCCGGGAGTGGGGCTGGAGGGGGTGGCCGGTCTCCCCACGGGAGTACAGAGCCGGTGCAGAAGCCAGGGGTGCCTATGGGGACGGAGGTGCGGGGAGGGCCGACCAGAGGGGGGGGGAGGGAGCATGTGGAGGCACCCAGTTTAGCGATGAAATGTTGGTGGGAGCAAAGGGGGTTGGTGCACCTCCCCCAGGAGCTAATGTAACCACCGCCGGGCGGGCGGCTTTGGATTTGCACCTGGGACCTCTGGAGCTTAGTGTAGGAGCCTCTACAGCTGGAGATAGAAAGTCAGCTGGCTCCCAGCTTAGGCTGCAGCGCCCCCCCCCTCCGCCCCCTTTGTTCTTATCTCTGGCTGTAAGTGGTCTGACTGCCACTCCATGGGACAGCGACCCACACTAGCATGAATCAGCTTGTCTCCATTCCAGCTCACCAGGGTCTGGGAGCTTAGACACCCCTTTCCCCCATAGGGGCTGCTGCCAGCCTGCCCTGCTGTCTCTGTGTCAGAGGCAGCAGCACGGGCAACAGGCAGCCAGTCTGCAAGGGGAGCTGGTTTTTGTTTGTGCCAAGTGCTGTTCCAGGTAGGTGCCGGGTTTTGCCAGAGCACATACTGGTGGTGGTTTGGATGATCATGCCGCCCTCTCTGACACCAGTGGGTCTTGGACAAATCTTTCCAGTTTTGTTTCATCTGTACAACACCCCACCATCACCACTGAGCTTTGAGAGGAGTCTTAGCAGAAATTGTGAGCGTTGACATGGAAAAGGTAGCTGATAGGAAGGGGGCTTTTCAGCATTGGTGACTAAGCTATAACAAGAGCCCACTACTGGAAGTTGAAGTTAGATAAAGTCAATCTCAAAATGTGATGCAGTTTCCTAGCAGGGAGGAACAAGAACATTGGAAGAGCTCACCAGGGCAGGCAGTGGACTAAGCATTGTTTTGTCTTCAAGGTGAGATCAGATAGTTGTCTGGAAGAAATTCTACAGCCAAGGGCAGCGGCGAGATGGGGGAGGCTGGGATGGATGGTCATGATGGTCCCTTCTAGCCTTGGATTCTGTGACTACGGATTCAACTGTTCATCCCTTCCTTCAAAGGTCACAGAGAGAACAGGAAGTTCTTCTTTGCCCTTAACATGCTCATAACACTTACAGCTCTGCATTAAGACATATGATCATAACTAGATTTCATGCTTCAGGACTTCAGACCTGCAGGGATCAGGAAGGAATTTAACAACCAGGGCCCCCTAGTCACAATTGACAGATGTATTCTTGACAGGGATAGAGGAATGTTTCACCTTCCCCTGAGGCATCCGGGATGAGCCACAGCTCCAGTCAGGACTCCAGATAGGATGTAGCCATGTACTGAGAACCTGCTTCATCAGATGTGTGCCTGGTGAAACTTACTCCCATGATCGGGATCAAACTGATTGCCAGATTTGGGCCAGGAAGTAATCTTCCTTCAAGTGGCATTGGCAGATGCCTAGGGGTCTTTTTCTCCCCCTTCTGCAGTATGAACATGTATCACCTAGGATTGGCTAGGCATATCTCATGTAATCAATTCCCTGCCATTGCAGGGGTCTCAGGCATTGGTCTCTATACCTGTGAAGCCCACAGTTTAGTTTCCTGTGGAACTGAAACATTTTACCCTCATTCAAGTTATTGACCTCAATATACAGTGAGTAGGGTGAAATTAAGAGCCTGTGATACACAGGAGGTCAGAGTAAATGAACAAATGATCCCTCCTTGCCTTAAATGCTGTGAAACACTGTTATGCTTATTGTCCCATTCTCTCTCCTCCTCCCGCCTCCAATCTTTGGGGCAGAGACTGTCTTTTTATTATGTGCAGTGCTGTGACTAGCACAATAGGGCACTGATATGTTCTCTGGCCCCTAGGCTTCACCGTAACAGAATGAATAATGCCATCCAGTTGTGCGCTAGCTGTACAAACAACCTAGGGCAGAATCTGAGTTGCGCTGATTAGCCGGAGGAAGTGGGAAATAGAGCTGATGAGTCCAGGTTCAAAGTGTCACTTTTATCCTTGAAAGACCAAGCAACATCTGACAGACTTCAATCTGGTTGCTTAAAAGTGGAAGGCGTGCCAGTACTACAGCGATGAGCACACTATAGATAAGCCCTCTATAGTTGAGAAGCCTTGCGAGGCCCCGCAGCGCATGCTGGGCACTTTACCCAATCAATACAAATTCATGGCCTTTGCTCTGAGGTGCTTACCAAGCAACTGTAGGTGAAAGAGAGCAACAAACAGTGAGGGGGGAAGAAGGACAAAGTTTACAGTTAAGGAGATGGACGATAAGCTACTCCCAGTGCCACAGAGAAGGGAAAGCCCTTCCCACTGTATTTTTACTGATTTGTTTGTACCATGTGCAGTGATCATGGGAGACCCAGGTACTGTTCTGAGTTCTGACTTCTCGCTGCTTGGTGTTGTACTGAAGGCAGTTTTGGAGCAAGTCCTGGCCTGCCTGACCCGAGATTGGGACCTAGATGGGGAAGGAAGTGAAAGGGTATTTTTTCTTACTCTTGTTCTTTAATTGTACCGGACTTCCTGCTATGTGAAAGTCTGGTATGATCTTGATAGCCCTATTTATTTTTGTGTTCAATAGGTTTTCATGATGAGTCTCATTAAAAAGCCCCAAACAAATCACACAAGAACCAACTTGTCTTCCCATTCCTTTTCCAATTTCCTTTTTGGCATTGCTTGGATACAGACACACACACACAGAAGAAATGAAATAAAACGATGTCCTTCCCCAGTCATCTGCTTACCCACCGGTTACCTGGCAAAGTCATGATCGGTCCTATCTTGATAGCATGTTGGTATTCTATACACATAGTTTGATTACTAGGAAAGAACTGGAGACTGGTTATAAAAACGCAGAAGCAGTGGATGGGCTTTTTAATTATTCTCATATTTTATAGTCTGTGAAGCTCTTTGGCACTGTTTGTAGACAAAGCTTTTTCATTAGGGTTAACTCTAAATGCTGTAATTAACTGCATTTATTGCGATAGAGCCCTGGGACCCAACAGAGGATGGAGTCTTATTTTGCTACATCCTGTGCAAACATATAATTTATTTTTATTTTTCATCCCATTCATTATGGTTTCCTTGTACCTGATCCAGATTGGGGCTCCATTGTGCTAGGCACTGTACAAACACAGTAGTAGACAGTCCTGCTCTGATGAGCTCAGTGTAAATCAGAGGTGAAAGTAACTTACATTTCTTATAAGTGCTGTCATATTGTGCATCCGCGTGCCCTGGGAGGACACTCAGGGCAGGGAGTTGGGAGGGGTTGTGACATGACAATACCTGTAAGAAATGTAAGTGTGGGATGGAGTGCGGGGGACTCAGGGAAAAGGTTGTGGTGTGGGAGGGGCAATGGGCAGAAGGTGGGGATCTGGGGGCACAGGAGCCAGGGAAGGAGCTTGCAGATATGGGGGCTCAGGGCAGAGGGCTGAGGTATGTGGGGGCAAGAGCACTATTTAGGGAGGGCAAGGGGGCTAAAGCCCCTGTACTGGGATGCTGCTTGCTCTTCCCCTTCATCACTGTCAGAGAGAGAGGGAAGCACACAGAGTGGGTCATTCACTTCTCTGCCATCTCCCTACCCCCCTCCTCCCGCCCTCCCCAGCTAGGCATGCTGCACACTTTCTTCTCAGCCTCTGTTTGCTGGTCCCCTCCTCATCAGGGTGAAAAGGAAGGCGCACGGTATCCCTGTGTTCCTCTCCCTCCGGGCTGCGATTGAGTGACCCACGCTGTATGCTTCCCTCTTGCTCTCCAAGGCTTGGCTACGCTGCGGTGCTATTTTGAGATACCTCTGGCAACCCGAAATAGCTATCCCGTGTCTTCACAGCAAGCCACTATACCCAAATATTTTGGGCTCGCTATTCTGACGTCCCTGTAAATCACATTGCATGAAGATTAAGGGACGTTTTGGGATAGTGCTCTATTTTGAAATTTGGTGTGGTGTAGACAGTGCCAAATCACAAAATAAACTATTTCAGACTAAGAGATGCAATTTACGTAGCTCAAATTACATATCCTGTTTCGAGCTCCAGGTGCAGTGTAGACGTACCCTCACAGTGACAAAAGGGAACAGCAAACAGCATCCTGGTATGCATCTCGGGGTGAGCGGGGTCTTCAGTCCCCTCTGCCCTCCCTAAATAGCGCTGCGGTGTTTGGGGGTGGGGCAATCCCCTTTAACATGCCTGGCAGCCTGCTGCTTAGCCCAGCAGCCTACAAAAGAGTCCCAGGAGTAGGCCAGGGAGCACACCGTGCCTCCTCGGCAGCCAGGCACCCCAACCTGCCAGTTCCTTCTTACAGGAGTGGTGCACCAGCTTATTTCCCCCTCGGGTGTAACTAGACAAGACAGACACAGCAGTAGTGCAGGCTTTGCCCACCTGCTACTGCTTCCCTTTCAAGATCTCGCTGCTGAACGTGGAGAGATGACCTTTCAGGGGGAGAATCAAGTGCAGTGTCCTGGGTCTATTTACTCCTTGGCCATACTTCTGAAACTGTAAACAAAGGTTCTGTGTGTGATGTGGGCACCTGATCCCATGGAACTAAACTGAGCACAGCTCATGTTGTGCACACACCACCAGTCAGCCAATAGATAGCAACAACTTGGGGTTGATGGAGTCAGACAGATGGTCTAGATGGGAAAGGCTTGGTAATCAAGAGAGGATGGCTTAGGTGGCTAAGCCTGGTGTTATATAAAGCATTATTTGCTTTCCAGGCCCCTTAGCCATCTGGTCCCCTGCATTGTTTTCATTCTGTTGAAAGTGTATTCACCACCTTTTCCAATCCCATCAGGCTCCTTTCCTGCCTCCTTCTACATTACATTTCTCCACACGAGAAGCACTGGTGCAGTGAAGCTGGGTTGTGTTGGTGGGTTTCATGTATCTGAATCCTCTTGCCCATGCCGGCTCCTCCCCC